TCCTCTGTCTGGTCACACCTGCCTAACGTCAGCCAAAGTTAAAGGACCTGACGAATGTGTCAGGGTACAAACTGTTTTTGTACACCATGCAACCTCCTTGCAGGTTTTTTTGGTTTTGTTTTTGGTAGACATTCACATTTAACTTCTGATTTTGATCTAACAAAACTCATATTGGCTACTTTTGATTGCAATGAGCATAGTAACACTGTATTCCAATAATTCTTTGGCATTGTTTTAGCTATACACATCTCGCAACTTTTCTTGCAACTTTTGCTAATTTTTTTTGCAACTTTTGCTATTTTCAAATGCAACTTTCTCTGAGGACAGGTCTTTGTTCCATCCTCGAAAAGATAGGTGTGATCTTTGTGTGGGCTTTGAGGAGGAGAATGTGGAAGAGGGGGCATACAAAAAAGACAGCAGGCAAGGAAAACTGCTTGGGCAGCCCCAAAATCAAATACATCAAAATAGACCAGCAATCAGTTCTGTTATATCCACGCACCAATGATTCTGCTTTGTACTACAAGACGAAATTGAATGTACACAATTTCACAGTATAGGAACTAGAGAGCAAGGACTGTGTATGTTATGTCTCAAATGAATTTGAAGGTGCTCTGACTGCAAATAAATTTGCTCCTTGTGTGGCTGATTTTTTGTCATCTGATTTGACTCCAGATCATTATATTTAGATGGATGTGGTTGCATCAGAACTGCAAAGTCACAATGAGTTCTGCACTGTTACATTTCAGCTCTGTCAATGGTAAAACTGTAACATTAAAATTCCTAGAGAAGGGCTATACACAGATGGAGGTGGACAGTGCTCACACTCACAGCACATCTACTACCCAGCTGATTATGTCAGGCTAATGGAAGAAAGTAGGAAAGTGAAGCTGTAGTCAAGTGTTTGACTCCTTGTATCTTTTCTGATTTCATCAAACTAACCAACCAGAGTTTACACACCAGATGGTCAAATTAAATACAAACTGAGATTTGATGATGACTGGTCACATCTGCCTTAGAAGCGCGGCGAGTCCACAGACATTCTCCATAAAGACATGAAGGGGCTGCCTCTGTACCAAGGTAGAAAGTTTAATTCGTCCATAGAGAACTTAAATAACACATGCAAGAAATGAAGTCTGTTGTGCCATCTGACTACCACAAGTTCTATAACAATCTAGAACTGAGTACGTCACCAGTGCGCAAGTTAAAACCCACGATTAAGTCTAATTTGATACGCAGTGTATTGTGTTTTGGTTTATGTAGTTTATTTTTAGCTAACCAGAGCTTTAGTTTCATTGGGTAGAGCATTTTAAAGTAAAGCCTCATAATGGTGCTTGGACAAGAGGATAATTCATTCCTGTTGACACTGGATGCTGCTATGGCATACCTCATCTTGATGACTTTCTATGTAAAATGTGTTGTTTAATTAGGCCATACATTAGGTGGGGATGCATTATATGAGGTTTAGTTGAGCTTTTCAAAAAATCATATTACTTCTAGAGTCTTCCAACCAAGTTAAACCATGTTTTTAAAGTTAGAAGCATTTCAGTTTCTTCCACTGGGGAACTGATGTGTCGCTTTTCAATCTTGCTCTTGTTCGACTTCGAGCCAAGACCAAAATCAACAAACCAAACAAGAATACGAGACCTTTTCTTTGCCGGTGATGCTGCTGTTGTCGCTCATAATGAATCAACCCTACAAATAATCCAGTGTTTAAGAAGATTGAGATGGCTGGGCCATGTCAAGAGAATGGACGACAACCGGATTCCGAAGCAATTTCTCTATGGACAACTTGCCCAGGGAAAGAGACCAAGGGGAAGGTCAAAACTGAGGTACAAAGACACCTGCAAAAACAGATTACCTAAGCTTGGAGTAGATGTCAGCATCAGTGAAGAAATAACCGAGGACAGGAAAACATGGAGGAAAATGATAAATGAAAGAACTATTATGCTAGTGACTAGAGAGCAAGCACTGCGACAGAATCTGCACTTCAAACAGGAAAAAAGTAGCCATAAAAGAAGCTCCATGAAGACAATTCGTATACGGAAATTCTTCTGTCCCCCCCCCCCCCTCACTCTCTCTCTCTCTGTCTGTCTGTCCCTCTCTCTTTCAGACCCCCTCCCCCTCTCTCTCAGTCCCTCCCCCCTTCTCTCTCTCTCTCTCAGTCCCTCCCCCCTTTCTCTCTCTCAATCCCTCCCCCCTCTGTCTCTCTCTCTCTCTCTCAGTCCCCCCCCCCTTTTCTTTCTCACAGTCTCTCTCTCTTTCAAAACAACACCCACCACCCCCATTTTTTTTATTAGCGCGGGAAAAGAAGGAATTACTATATGAAATACCTCGTCGAAGTCAGACCAAATTGACGCTTTCTCTCGAAAAGTGCCGCGCGGGTGATTTAGTTCGTTCCCCGGTGTGTCGATTATGTTATGGACCCATAGAAAGAGGTGGCTCGGTTGGGCGTTCAAGACCGTCATCTATCGTTGATTGTAGCTCCCAGGGATGGAGAAGCATCGATACAAATTCGTAAGGGCAACTTTCATTCAAATGGAGGGGGGGCTGCTCTTTCTTTTCGGGAGGTAAATAATTCCCCTCCGACC